TTGCCACAATTTCCCTTTATCAGTTTTTAATAATGATTCGTATGTACAAGTCGTATTATATGTAAAATGAAGGGAATTACAAGAGATGGGAGAGTAACCCTTGCCTCCCCCCCCCCAACCTACAAAAAAAAAAAACAAAAAAAAAATCCTGTAAAGAAAGATGCAATATTACTTGAACAGGGGTCGGGGGCTGTCTAAGAAAGTTTGACAGTTTGCGTCGCCAGGACAGGCGTCTGTTGCCGATCTTTTGTGACGTCACACACTTATTATTTTTTGAATCATCGTACAAATTAAAACCTGAAAGTGACTTTGATGTTATAATTTCTTATTTTGTTAAAAAGAATTTACTTTTATACATTTAATATTGTGTGTGTGTTTTAGATTAAATTTTAATCATTTTAAAATTTTAATTACATTTTTTTTTTTAAATTAGAAAGTGTGGCGTACTTTAAAAAAAAAATGGGGGGGGAGGGGGTGGCGGTGTGGAGGGGGTCTCAGATATTTATGAAAAAATGTTGGGAAAAAAAAGGAGGGGGGGGTGGGGGGATTCCCGAAAAAAGTGTGACGTACTTTACGAAAAATATGTAACATATTGATTGCAGTTTTCAACTTCAAGGATCCTGCAAGAAACAAATTGGTAAAATTATCATGTACGAGTCAATCACCTTATCATCTTTTTAATTGTAACAGAATTTGAAAAATAATATTGTTTACACTAACTTTGCTTTTCTTTTGAAATAATACAAACTAAACAAGTAAATTTAAAGATTATCGGAAAAGAAGAACGATAAAAATTAAAGAAACAAAATATTTTAAAAAAATTTAAAAAAAAATGTAAAGTATTTATGAATTGTTTCTTAATTTATTTTTGTTTTTTCTTTGGCTAAAATAGCGTAATCTTAACTTCCTTCCGGGTAGATGGAAATAATATGCAGCCCTTGCTCCTTGCGTTCTTCTATTTCGTTGACTTCGTTTCTAGCCATTTTTCGCATATAGGGAACACGTTCCTGCTGGCACTTCCTAGGATGATGGAGAGACCCGAGATAGACGAGCCCCACTGTGTTAAATTCGTCATGACCACTTTCTTTCAACAAGACGTGGACATCTCCATAAAAACGTATTACCTGCACGTCCACAACATGTCACTGGACGTGGCACTAACGCTGAAGCCAAGGACGCCCCGAGAGTACGTGCACGAGACGGGAAACGTCACCACGAGAAAAATGGGACGCTCGTGGAGCTACGCCCTGAACGGCAGCGGCCAGTTTACGCTGACCGTGCACGTCAGGGCGCACGGGCACTCCTTCTCTTCTTTCCAGGCCGTTCCGGTGGCGTCTTGGGGGAGGCGCTACTTCGCCGTGACGCTGTTCGACTTCCCCTCCATTCAGATCACCAGCGATGGTGACCGGAACCTCGTGAGAATCCGATTCCGGTTCCACGGAACCAGGTCGCCCACCTTAACCTACAGCAACGTGGAGTACGCGCCTGATAAAACCTTGCATGTGGAACTGGACAGAGGGGGCAGTTTTTCCATTCACCACTGCGACAAAGTGAAAGAGAAGCACAACGGCTCGTTGACGGGCTCCTCCGTTGTCGGTCAATTTCCCATCGGCGTGATCAGCGGCAATTGTGACACGGCGACGTACACCACCAACTGCCGAAACTATCGGCTCGATCGATGGGGCTCCACGGCAGATGTGGTCACAGAGATGCTCTTGCCCGTGGAAGCGTACGGGACAGAGTTCATCGTCGTGTCCTTCAACAAGAGAAGTCCGCACGGTGTCCTGATGATCGTTGCGAGTGAGAACGACACCGAGGTCAGCATTTTTCTAACCTCGGATGGCAGGACGAAAAACATTACCTTAATCCATGCTGGAGACCTCAACAAGGAGGTCATCATAGACGACCACCGAATGGTCTTGAGCGACAAAAAAATACAAGTGGTTATGATGTCGCGGTCAGCTTGCTGGAGCTCTGAGGGTTTGGAACATCAGGGCGATAGCTCTATCAGTTTACTCATTCCCAACTATCTTTTTTACGTCGAATACTTTTGGATCACACCAAATATCACACCCGATAGTTACGCCGCCCTTGTGTCCGAGAATGACAAAATCGAGTACCTGGTTTTTGACTTAGAACCGGTACCGGACACGAGTACATGGGAAGAAGTGACAGGCCCCACGTCGTATATTGTCACTTCGGTTCGAGCCTCCACGGGAAGTCACTCGGCGGCATCGACACACTACTTTAAGTTTGGGTGCTATCTTGTCGGCATCACGCACAAAGCAGAATACATGTACCCGGCTGGATTCGATGAGAGCTGCATCCCGAATGCAGCAAATATGATTCCCGACGACGGCATTGACAACGACTGCGATGATAGCGTAGACGAAGAAACCGTCAATGGCGTGGATGACGACAAGGATGATAGAGTAGACGAAGACACTTTCTTGATCCGCGGACACAATGTTACTCCCGTCCACGGGAATTGGGGAGAATGGGAACCATGGGAGTGTTTCCCGACCTGTGAAGTCACATTCTCCTTCCGGCTACGAAAGTGCACCGATCCGGCCCCCATCTTGGGGGGTCGTTACTGCGAAGGTCACGACGAGGAAGGATCCAACTCCACGTGTGGTAGAAGTGAAGCGTGCCTCGCTGCGTGTGAAAAGTTTACCTGGGGGGCGACTTGCGAGAAGACCTGTCGCAACTGTGTGGACGCCTGTGACGATCGAACGGGGGCGTGCAGCGGGTGCAAAGAGGGCTTCAAAATGCCACAAGGCGGTTGCAACATGTCGTGCGAGGAGAACGAGTACGGCCGCAACTGTCTTGGGACGTGCTGGGAAAAGTGCGGATCCGACTGCATCAACAGGGTCTCGGGTCAGTGCCCAGAGTTTTTACTAAAGTCCCTAATGCTGTTCTGGACCTCGCTATTGGTGATACCGGTGTCCGCGCTGCTCATGTTGACTAGAAAACGATATTTAAAACACAACGCTGAACATTAGACCAATTCTCAGGATTAGCTCCGTGCTTGTGTTATATTTTTAAGGCGCATTTGGCTTACATGAGGAAAAAAAATGTTTAAAAATGACATGACATAAGCTGTTGTGTTGCAGTGTCGTTTGTTAAACGCTTATTTTAATCATTATTTCATGATCAACTCAGCCTGCATGGGATGAATGGTGCATCAGCAAAGGGTCCTGGATCTATTTCGGAGGACGGGACTCCTCAAAGAAAAGCAACGCCCGTGTCAAAAATAAGAAAAATGTATTTATATTGATCTATTTATTACCTCACCCCCCCTGCACCCCCCACCCCAAAAAAAAACCCCCGACATTTTTAGCGTCTTCTGATTTAAGTGATTGAAATCTATCCCCCCTTCGCAAACCCCCCCCCCCCCCCCCCCCC